CCTACTATTTTCCCATTTTTAATGTTTATTTATTTATCTTGTGTATATTTACTTTTGATGTATATTTCATAATTGAATGTTTATCAGCCAAGCTCTCGTAAAACTCCTAAAATACAATAAAAACAATGAGATGTAATGATATTAATTGGTTCATTTGCTTAAATGGTCACTAACTACATACCTATTAGTCAGAATCAGCTTCAACCTTTTAAATGTAACAAAAATTGGGAATGATTTCGGAGAAATTTTTTGATAAAAAAGCATGGACTATAGTCCATAGTTTATTGTTACAGGGAGGGCTGCCAATAGGCTATGTGGGGCGGGTCCAGGACAAAAACTTTGATGGTGCCCCTACAGGTACGGGTACAGGACTAACATATCGTACATGTATTTCACAATTTGACTAAAATTCATGTACTAGTATACATGTACAGGTACATTTAAACTACCTCATCTGTTATTTTACTGTCATTAGTAACTCCATCATTTTCATCATCAACTTTTTTCTCTTCCCTGTATGAAAAGCTGTCTGTTCCAACCGGTTCCAACGCCGCCATATTGAGGGTTAACATTTAAACAACAAAGAATGCCCCCGGCCCCGGCCCCCAGCTATACCAGCCCCACCCTTGACAGGGCCTTTGCAAAGTTTGCATCCGGTTAGCTTGTTCTTTGATCAATGGCAACTAAAACCAGTTCTTGTTCCTTTTCTCTGAGTCTCTTCTCTTCTTTTTTGACTATTGGTAATGTTCATTAACTATCTATGTATCATTGAATATGATTTTAGAGCAACTTATTGATGTACTTAATCTGTTGAAGAGATGTGGTTTCCCTCAGAGGAGATGGAAGGAACTAGGACTGACACTAGGACTACATAAGAACTCGCTTGACGTTATTGCAGAAAACTACTCAAAAGTAGAAGATCGTTTTATTGAATGCATTGCCAGATGGTTGTCCAGAGCTGATAATGTCACAGTTGACAGTAAAGGAGGAGCTACCTTTGACTCACTGTCAGATGCTTTTAAATCTATGAATGAGAATGCTGCAGCTGACAAGTTAGATCAAGAGAGTAAGTTAATATCACTGATTGTGTTAGTATTGACTCTGTGTGTGTATTCTATAGAACGTAAAGCTAAGGTTATTGATATATTCAACACTCATCATCCACTCCTCTCTCAGTCTCTCTCTGATCCTGTCAATGTAGCTATTATGCTTCAAAGAGAGGGTGTCATAACAGGACAAGTATTGGCTAGTGTGGAATCAGCTAGTCCCTCTGTTCCTAATCAACGTGAAGTCCTGTTAGCTGCCATTATAGTAGCTATTGAAAACAAGTATAGTTTACTACAAACATTTGCTAGTGTGTTGTGCAAGTTCACTGGTAATGTAAGACTAGGAACAGTTGTACAAAGAGATTATGGTGGGTCAAAATATAGAATTATTGTTATTTTTATCTCAATTTTAATTTTAGATGCATATTTTTCTACTGAAGAATTCGTTACTATTGAAATGGAAGAAGGTATGATAATTTTTTTTATTAATTTTTATTATTATTTTTTTAGATTCAAGCACTGGAACAGTCACACCATCACCACTTTACACACCAACTGCACCAACAGGTACCTCATTGATGATTAAAACAATTAATATTATGATTAATCCTTAGTTGAAATTCCTGTTCGAAAGAGTAAATCAAGAGAATTCAGTTCAATAAGAGCTTCACTTGCTAGAATGATATTTAAAGTGTCCAAAGCTATCACACAGAAATCTCCACCTCTGATTGACCTAAAGTCTCTCATTTGCCTCTTTAATTCTGATCTAAAAGGAAAGCTAGCTGAGTGCAATGATATATCCAGTGTAGTGCATGTGATTGAAGGAGAGTGTACATTGACTGATATTGAACTGTTAGAAACTGTAGTTGAAGAATTTGAAGTCACTGAAGCTGAGAGATACATTGAACAATACAAGACAACATTGGAAAAATCCTGTCACTCACTGTCAATTGATCTTTGCTTGAAGGAGAAGTTTGATGCTGTCAATACAAGTCCTTCTCTTAAATGTGAATCAGCAACTTTCGTCTTTGACTGGAGACCTAACGAGAAGAAATTAAAAGATATTATTGATATTTTATCCAAGACATCTGGTAAATTAGTTAAAATAAAATACATCAAAGAAGGAAGCTCCATCATTGTCACTTGCTCCTTCCCTCACTCTCTCACTGGGGCTCTCATTATAAAATTGAATGAGAATCTTGAATCATTAATAAAGAATGGTCTAATGAAGCTTACTGTTGGATACTGCACAATATGGAAGAAACAAAAGATACAAGTATGTGCATATATACTGTCAGTAATTATCATTATATACTGTATTATGAAGGAAATACAGGAACCATTGCAAGAGGAGGTAGAGGAGATAAAGGAACAACCTCATGATACAAAGGTATAATAATTTGTGTTTGATTATTTTATTAAACTAACTTAATAGGAAGAGAGAGTAGCAAGACTGGAGGAGAAAGAAACAAAAGGAGCAACACCTCAATCAGTAATTAATCAAGGTATAATAATACATTAATGTAATGGTTGTTGACCAGTATTATTAATTGATGAATAATTATAATATTTCAGATATACTATCAAGTGATACAAGAGTGACAATAATTAATAGACAATTAATAAAAGATATTAAAACAAACAAACAATTAGAAGAAACAGTAACAAGTAAGTACAGAACTTTATCAGTTATAATTGAAATAATGTAGAAATGAGAGTAAAGGAAATTCAACAACATCTGTCTTTACCAAGAAATACTGGTTCAGGTTAATTTTTTAAATTATTTATTTATTTATTCTATTTATTTATATAGTATCGCACAGAATCAAAAGAGGAATGAGAATGGAAATAGAACAATTGCAATTATCATTATCAAATAAAACTGGTATTGAACCAGAATGTATGTGTTAGTGTATTATAATTATACTATGATAGGTTTACTGGATCAGAATGAATCATTAATAGATATTAAGAGAGAAATAGCTGAACTACAAGAACAGATATCAGTAATGAGTGTACGTATACTAAACAAAAGAAAAGAGAATGAAAAATATAGAAATATAATAAGAAGTATGTGTCATTATTTCATTAACTGAGTATCACTGGTATATAGTGAATAAACCAACAGCAGAATCTATTTTTGTTGCTTGTTATGATTATCATGCAATGGACAGTGATGAAATATCATTTGGTAAGGGAGAGCAGCTGGAGATATGTGAGAAGGAGAGTAGTTTTCATTGGGAAGGAAGATCTTTGATGTCTGGTGATGAGGGAGTCATTCCCAGTAGTTGTGTTTACTCAATGTTGGAGTCACTTCAACTGTTAGAGTTTATACTGTCAGTGAAAGAAGTGTCCCTTCCTATTCTACAGAAGATAAGGAATGATTCATTTAGTAATGATGAGAAAGCTTATCTTTTCTTGGAGACTATTAATGATGATCCCATTATGATATCTGCACTGAGACAAGACAAGGAACAACATGATGAAGGTAATATTTGTGATTATTGTGACAGTCCATAAAATTATTCATAAACATGTACATGTACTCCCTAGTCCCCCGCCCACTCCCAATTGACTAATAATGAACTAGGGTTAAGTGCAGTTGTGCACACTATCAAACAATCACTATACTATACTATACCAAAAACAACAGAAAAATGTTCAAACAATTTAGAGACACATATTCTACAGTGTCTCAAGGAAAAAACCCCAGGGGGTAAAAAACCTCTAATGAGGAAAAACCCTCCCGGGGGACAAAAAACCTAACAATAAAGAAAACAATGCAGATTGATAGACAATAACTGGAAAATGAACAGAATTAAATAATAAAGTTTTATCAATTCGATGTAGTCATA